GAAGAGTGAGTAGGGACCTGCAAAATAGAATTAGCACTTCAATGCTTAAGTTAATAGTCGTCCGATCTAAACTTGAGAGAATTAGGTTATAGGTTGGGCTTCTTACAAGCCTTGAGAATCGCAGCGTGTTATCGTAGACCGTAAGTGATTATAAAAATAAGAAATAGGAAACAAAAACATTATCGAAGGGACCCCGAGTGATTTTTGCCTATTATATATACTACCATAGATATGAAATGATTTGGATATGAAAGAAGCCAAATCAGCAAATAAATGAATACAGAATTACTAGCAAGAGAATGCCAAAAACATTAAATAATTGCCAACCCAACACCCAACTATATGTGTTCCCTACCGTTTATTAGATCCCTCCATAGGAATCACTCAATCAACAATGCCCATTAAGATTAAATTTAAAAAAAAAAACAGTACTTTTATTATAGCATTTTCAACTCTACTATTTTTGTCCTTTTTTCTTTAAATAAATAAACTCCATTATTTTCCCTCTTAATTTGAAGGAATGATTGAGATGTTTTATCTTGGAATTTTTATTATTTATAGTATAATATATATRTAAGTTAATATGTAATTATTGAAGTTGTGATTCTTGTGGTTAGGAATTGAGAATATCAATTTTTAGTACCACATGAAATATTTTGGTACTTTTTTTACAGAACAACGTTCAAGTTAATATGAACATAATTGTGTTGTGTAGTTTGTAATAATTCTTCAATATCAACCATAGATTAAACTTTTTTAAAGTTTAGTGAGAGAGCGAGTATAGATAGTTAAAATAATGTCAAGTTGAGTATAGTTCAATGGCAATTGATACCTACTTCTTCATCAAAGTGGAGGTTCAAATCCCAATTTATCCTACTAAAAAAGTCAAAATAATATTTATTATTATTATTGATATTGTATAGTATCAAATATATTAAAAACTTCTGGTCATATTAGTCGACAAACTTATTAATATTAATAATTTTTAATTTATTCAAAAAAGAGTCAAATATTTATTTGTTAATTTAAATATTTATTATAATTTTTCTAAAAATATGTGACGTTTGTATTTTATTGATATTTCTATTAATTTTTCCTGACATTTTCATCTACATTTAAAAGTTTTAGATACTTGGCCATAACTAAATAATGATTTCTTAAAACAATGCAAACTTTTTTTTTGTTTGTTTGCGATATTTTTAAGTATATATCTTCAAAGTACGAAGATTTAGTCATAATCTCAAAGATTTGGACAGAAGTATTTCAATACGAAAAGTTTGATATCAAATGATTCCAAATCTGGACTCGAAAGCTAAAGTTTTTAAAGTTTAATATTCTTACACGTCGAATGAATTTAAAATTTGCTAAATTACTAATATATTTATATTTTTTTCATTCTGTTAGATTTTTCATATTCTAATTTAGTGAAAATAACATCATATTTATATCCAACTCTCAGTGATAACGATTTTCTTCATGGAGAAAAGATTTAAATTATTTAATATTGTAACACTTCAAACCCAAGACGTAGAATTCAAATTTGATTTTTAGGCCAAATACAAATTTGATTATGAGGCCAATTACGCTTATCTTTGAAGGTTTTAGCAAATGGACTATATTGATAGTCTCAAGACCTTATTGAATCCAAAATCTTCATCGAATTTTAAAGAGAACTCGCTAGCCACCAGACTGCAAGAAGAAGAGTGAGCACTCTGACGTTCAAGTTAATAAGAAGTTGAATTGATAGTTTGTAGTTTCGTATTCCATATTCAAAGATACCTCTAGGGGTACAAGCACCTCATCTTTATAGTCGATGTCTAATGGCTAGCCTCGCAGGAACACATAGCACGGTGAGATCCTCGTACATGCGAGACTCACATATTGGGCCTATTGTTACTTGGTGAGGGCAACCTGCACGTTCTATAGCTTCTATTGTTACACGTGGCAGTTTTCCTCCACAACAAATCTCTCTCATTCAAATACAATATGGATTCAATCATGTGTCTCTCCCTACTCGAAGTATCACAAATATATCCTAACCTATTCTTTTTTTTTTCTTCTCTCAATATTAAATTTATTGGATGAAAATTAAAATGTTATAATCTCCGGATCTAGTTTAGCTTTCTAATATTTCTTTCAATTCTCTCTCGAATTATATTTCAATGTTGGGTTGTTTCTCCATTAAATATAAACATTCATAGAGTTCCAAATAATCAAAGATCCAAATTGACCTAAGAAAATTTATAAAAAAAAAAAAAAATCTCTAAATCTCATACTTTTTTCCCTCTAAATCTCAATGAAGTTCTAGACCATGTGGTATATCGTATAGTGCTCTCAATAATCGAGTGGAAACCACTACTAGAGAGAATCATGGCTTTACAAATAAGACAAAGGGTGTATGATTGATAATAATATCTAATTATAACAATTAAAAAAAAACAACAATATTAAATAATCAATTTTTTTTCTTTTTCTTTTGGTTTAGATCCTATTTTGATTCCTTTTATATTTACATGATTGTAGTCTCAAAACTTTCATAATTTATCAATTTTTTTCTATTTTGGTATTTATATTTTTTTAAAAAATAGTTATTTTGATATTTGTATTTTATTATTTTCATCATAATTTCAGCATAATATTGTCCTCAATAGATTTCTTTAAAGTTTCTCACAGCTTCTTATTAAAAGAGTTTTCATAATATATAAAAATTGTGTTAGGATTTTACAAACAAGATTAAAACCAGAAAGTAGTAAGTATTGAGATCGGAATGAACATTTTAGAAGTGTATTGATTAAAATAAGAAAAAGTTAAAAGTAATGTGACCAAATATATATATTTTAAAAGTATAAAGAGAAAATAAATAAAAGCTTAAACTACACAAGTTAATTTCTTTTATTAATTATTTAACATTAATGTAAACATGTTTTAGAGCTCAAAATTTAATCTATTACACATGGTTTTCAATATTGGTTCAAAAAGACATCTACTTGAGTAAATAAACAAAATGTATGTCAAGACTCTAGACTCTATATCAAATTTTTTCTTAGATAATCTATAAAAAGAAAAATTAATGACAAGAATTAGAATAGTATTTTGGTAATATTTATAATATTAAATGATATAATATAGTAGTGTCCCCTTGAGTATATTCATTGAATTCCAATTCCATGATTGCACCTTCTAACCTATGCATGTGAAGGGAGGGAGAGAAAAAAAAATCAGAATAATTGAGATAAAATATAATAAATTACCAATTGAAAAACAAATAGATATAATATAATGAAATATATAATACATATAATTCAGTGAATACTATGATTATATTTAAGTTAATTAATTACGAGTCAATCATCAATTATCTAGATCACCACGTAACTTGTTATTACTGCCAAAATCGATATTCATAAATTTAGAAAAGACTTTATATTTGCAATTTGATCTTTAAAATATTATATTAATAGTTATTTTTTATATTAAGAAAACATATTTATAATATTTTGTTGCAGGACTGGACCTGTTTTGTCTAATGAATGAATTTGGGCCCAGCTTTAGTAATTAAACCATTTGTGCTTGAAAAATTATAGAGAAATTTCAGGGGAAGTTTGATTGCATAGTTATTTTTCCAAAATATTTATAAATATTTGTTTTTATAAAAGTAATTTTAATTTAATAATTTTAGAAAAATTAATATTAAATATAATATATGTTATCAAAAACTCACCCATGCTTGATTCATTCGGTAATTAAGCACTGCTACACTTTTGGGTTTTCATAACGCCTACTATAAGTAAAGAAAAGAGAACCAAAAAAAAAAAAGTCACAAATAGTTATGGGGGCATTTTTTTTTTCACAGAAAAAGCAATCGGAGAGTTTTAAATATGGTAAAAAAAAGAAAAAATAGCTTCAATTCTCGAGAATTCAATGGATCGACAAAATTGCCTAAGGGCAAGCGTGTGCTCAACATAAATCTCTTTAGAACATGATACTACATCTATTATAATCGTTCCTCAATCATCTCTTTAAGTTGATCCAATAGATGGATTACTTTTAGAACATACGATACTACACCTATTATATAACAAATACTTAATAGAGAGATAGGATAATCAAGAGAAGGATATAAGTAATGACCAAAACGTAGTTGATTACCCTCTATCTAGAGATAGGACAAGAAGGAAAACCTAGGACGTCCATGAATCACTACAACAAATATCATCATTTATAAAAATAGATAAACATAGATCTTTTAAAGAATCTATTTGGCTTAATGGTGTGGTTTCATAATTAATTAATTGTGTTAGTGTATGTGTAACGGTTTGATTGATAGTCAAAGTATTTTATTTGTTTAAAAAAATTATTTGATCTAGGTCCCGTTTGGATTGTTAGTGAAAGGGCTAAAAATGATTAGGAGAGAATTTTAGAGAAGACAATAAAAGGAAAAAAAAAACAACTTTAGAGATTGTATATTTTTCAATCATCTCCCTCTGAATTCACCTCCCCATGAGTAATGGAGCTCATTTTTTTGAGTAAACCAAAACATTAAAGTCTGCTCTTTCCTACAAAAAATTTTTAGTGCTTTTTTTCTGGAAAAAAAATGGTCGGTTTTTTTAAGAGATCTCAATTTTAATTTTAAATTGAACTTCATTGCTCTGTTTAGGGCATGGAACCATTGTTGGTCAAGTAGAACGATTACGGTAATTTTTATTACATCTTTCATCTTTGCATTTCAATGATATTTTATACTAAATTTACATCGATGTAGTTTTATTTCTAAAATGAGCACAACAAGGAACCTGCTCGATCTCAACGAGTCTCTCTAGCGAAGAGAAGATATGAAACTCTCTAGGTCTCGAACACTAGAACTCAATCGTGCAATAGGTTCAACTAAAAGAAAAAGCCAGAAGCAAATTACCTTTGAGTAAACATAGTACTCACTATGACATCGACGTTTTGACATTTCCATAAAAACCGAATCTACTAACTATTATTGCCATTTCTGGTTTTGTGCAAAACAAATTTTCTTCAAATTCATAACAAAAGCACCACTATGTTAAAAAAACATTTCAAGTCTTGTGATTTTGACACCCCCCATTGATTGCACACCAAAAACATCCCTATAAGGTTATAACAATTAATTACATTTTTGTGTCATCATTTTCTTTCCAAAATTCCTCCTGCCATCTCTTTTTTTGGAGTTGCATCTTTTCCCTTTTTGATGGAACCATATTGATATGGTATGTAATGCTGCAACAAAACAAGGAACAAAATACAATCACAGAACCAACACCAGTTCCAGTTTATGACCATTACTTTTCATATTCATCAAATAGGGAATTTCTGTGCATCTCCTTTCTTTTCACCTTCTTTCCTGACCGAGTGATGGTGTCGATAACGGTTTCAGTTGAGGGCAGTCCCGGGAGTCTGGGTCTTCCAAGCTGCAATGCAGTAGAATCGCCTGGACGAGCCCATGATATTGGATTCACTGCACAAAACATGGGAGAATATACTGTTATAGCATTTACTGTTTAACGTGCGGTCACTGCAGACTATGAACCTACCAATGATATAAACAATATTTTGACGTATTGATCTGTTTTTCTGGTTGGTTCCTAACAGAATTGTTCATCTTTAAATTAGAAACAGTTTTAGGAAACTAGACTAGAATCAGTTTCTACAAACAACTTTCAGAAAACCCACCTCTAGAAATGGAAATCTAGAGTCAATGGATTGCTTGCTAAATAGGGGCATTGGGGGCGGGATAAGAAACGAATATAAACAAGTACCTTCACCAGATTCAAGCCTAGAACCGTCGATATTGGCACGACGCTTTCTCACGTAATTTTCCTGCAGAGGCTTTGGGATTTGAAATGAAAACCGTGTCATGGATACACCTTCTGTTTGGTATTCTGGATGTTCAACCAGGTATCTAGAGAACCAAATGAAGCATCAGAGGGTGCAAAGGAAATACTGAAAGGAGATAAATATTTAACACACTTATGGTAGGCCATGGATTATTTACCAGAATTCCATCAAGTATAGGAAATAAAATTATAGTTTAAATACTATTTTAGTCTCTCTATAGTTTGGCTTTGGTTCATGTACTTTCAAAACATCTATTATGGTCTATACTTTAAACTTTTACTTTTGTTCATTTTAGTCACTGTATTTTAAGAAAGTTTATTCTGGTCCCTGTACTTTAAAAAGTTACTATCATAGTGTCTTCATTTTCATTTTCATCTCATTTCTTTCTATCACAATATTAGCATCACAATTCACTAAAAATTTCTTGAAATGTGGCCATAAGATTGCATCAAAGGATTTCCATTTTGTATAAAATTTATGTTAAAATTTTGTAAATGGAGACCAAAATGAACCAAAGTTGAAATTACAAGGATCAAAATAGCCGTTTTGAAAATACAAAAACCAAAATAGTATTTAAACCTAACATCATTAAACAAATTCTGAAGCATATGATATACACCAACATACTTTTGGATATCCACCATGGAACGAAGCTTCTTGCCCGATGGCGCAACATAATACCTGAAAAGCAGTAAAAGATAAAATTTAATAAAATCTACAGTTTATGTTACATGCTACAAATTACAACTTACTTTGTGGCTAAACTGAAAGTAAGAAAACGTAAATGGTTATATATGGAAGGAGACATTTTATATGTTGAAGGCAACACAAAGATATTTACTTTTATATCCCTGACCCCGAGTGACCTAGTGGTAAGAACCAGAGATGTTTGGAGATAACCTCGAAGGTCATGGGTTCGAGCCCCAAAAAGCTTTAATAATTTAGAACTCTTTTGTCTATTGAAACTAGACTTGAGGTGGGCAAAGCCTCCTCATAGATTATTGGGTGTATGTCGTGAATTATTAGCCAAATTTTCAAAACAAGAACAAATTTTTAGAAACTATTCTTTTTAGGTCTCAAAATTTAGCTTAAATTTTGAAATGTTTTCAAAAAGCAGATAACAAAGCAAAGAAACACGTAAGTAAAAGTAGAATTTGTAACCTTAATTTTCAAAACCAAAAACTAAAAATCAAATGGTTATCAAACGAGACTTTAAGAGAGATGGTGGTAGACCGAACCTAACTGATGACTGGAGGTATTGACAATGAAACCCACAAAAAAGTAGTGATAATATAGAATTTAAAGTACATACACATCAGCAAACTTGGTGCTTCCTTCACCTCTGATGTGTAGTAGCCTTTGCCAACCAGGAGGGGGCTGTGCTATATTAGGCTTGTCAATTGCCCAAAGCCTACTGCCATCTTGAGTAATGTCAGCAGGATCGTCACAAGAGATATCAGGCCGCCACTCCCGAGCAGTTTCACAGTGAAAAGGTTGCTCCAACAGATGTTCGCGTATTTCCTCGTATTTTTCCTTTGTTGGAATGAGCCTCCATTTAAAACAGCTTGCACACTGGACAGTAAAGGCCCCTACAGATGGCAAAGCTCTGGAAGAATTGGGAGTCGAGTGTCCATGAAATGGGGGGTGAGGGCGCTCTATAGGTCGTGCGGATACAGGTTCGTCTGCACCTCCATCATTAGCAGATGGGTTGTATAGTACCAGTTCACGAGAGGCATTTTCATTAGATCGGGATTGTAACTCGTTCTCAGACGAAGAAGACGACAAAGAAGATGAAGAAGAAGAAGAAACAGCTATAACATCTTGGCGCGGAGTTCCTTGGTGGTTTAACAAACTTGATTCACTCAAGTCATTTTCTTCAACACCAACCATACTGGTAATCTATCAACGCTCTAACCACATCATACCAAGGTCCCAAATCCTGCTATAGACAAAAGAAATAGATTACAAATACAGATTATGAACTTTTTATATGTAATAAAGTAAAATTTATTACTAAAAAGAGGAAAGAGTGAAGATAAAATTTCCTCCCACTCCCAAAGCCTAAAGAGACTACAAAAGAAACTTTACAATACAGAAATGATAGTCTCATAAAATATTTTCTTAAAGATGAAAATAACTTGAAAATTTACGTCATGACCAGCTCATTGTTGGTACTTCATAATTCTAGAAGAGGAAAGAAGAAACGGTATTGGTTTTCTTAGCTTAGTTTTCTTTTTATGGAAAACTCAAGTACCTAAAGAAGAAAAGATATTACAGACGGGGGATGATAGGATATTCTTGCTAAGTGAATGGGTTAAAGAGGAAACCCCTTCCAATTGGTCTGCGTAACAAACTTAGTGTAATTACAAGAAGATTTATGAAGAGAATACCATCTAGAAGCTATGAAAAAATGATATAATCCACAAATTCTTCAAAATCTACGTGTCAGTAAGGCAAGGGACTTAGTTGTTGGGCATTGGGTTAGTTGGTTTGTACATGAGTTAGTAGAAGTTTGTTAAGAGTTGATAATGGTTCCAAAAGAAGAAAAGGGAGAGGAACACAAGGGATATTTTCTTTTGAGCTAAACAATATGAAGGGAACCTCTGCCATTTAGTCAGGATATATGCTTTAACCATTTTAGCTATGCTCATGTTGGCAATATAACAAAGAATATTAATTCAACAGTAAACTCAAAGTATCTAAAAAGTGTATCTCTCCATAACCAAAAAAAAAAAAGTTTATCTTGGCACAAGTAGCCTATACAAACTGCAAAGATTGATCCCTGCTTTGGGAGGTGGTTAGAGGGATATATTCTAGAAAACTTCCCTTGAACCAACGAAGAAATCAAACAAAATTCAACCAACAAAATCCACAAAAATACCCCAACCCAGTCATGAAAATAAGAGAACTTATTCACAAGCTCAAACCAGTCAAAAATCCCGAAACCTGACATCAAACCACCCAAACCCAGTTAAGAAGTATCCAACAACCAGAAGAAGCAAGATCCACAGAAATAGTCCCATCAAGGCAAAGGACAAGCTAGCTACGTAACACCCACAGGCCACAGATACCCACCCACAATTAGAAAAATAATAATAAAAAGGTAACCAATATTTCATTGATGGTATAAAATATTACAAAAAGGAGAGGAAAGACCTAGCCTTGATGGGTACCTTTTTTGGATCTTGTCTTGTGTGTTGATGCTCTATGGATCTTTGATCCTGTCCCTTGTCTTATGTATTTAACTTCAAAGTTCAATTTGATGAAATTAAAACTATAAATTAAATTTGAGTCACTCAGGTAAACACTGAATTTTCCCCCCAAAACAAGATACATAATATAGAAGGTCTAAATTATTTTCCTTTTTGTCCTTTTTTTCCAGGAAGAGAAGGCTATTATGTTGGTGAATTACATGAAAAATTTAGCACAACACACTCCAAGTTTCTACACCATCATGAACACGTCTTTCATTCGTCTATCATTACGATAAAATTTAAAAATCTAAACAATGCTTAATTACCAGAAGACACAGACATCCCAATCCATCCACTAACTATAGCAGATAGGAAGCCAACAAAACCCTTAAAATTTCTCATTGTAACATAATGATTATGCATGGCTTTTTTGTTTTTTGTGTCTTTCTTAGGAGAACTTCTAGATGTGATGAGTAATTTGAGGGAGGTTTGGTATTTAGCTAGGTTCAATGCCTCTTTGCAGGTGTTTGTTCCTAAGGAGTTTTGCAGTTAACATAATGATCATGCATAATGTTTACAAGCAACATAAGAGTGCCCCATATCTCAAGAAATAAACTAGAGGATTTTGCATCTCCTTGCTATAAACAAATACTTTGTATCAAGAATTTCTCTCACAACACTGATAAAACAACAGAACTTCGAGCTGTAAAACAACAATGCAGTGAAGAGATCATCATGAAGAAGAACGAGACAGATTTGAAGCCAATAGAGCAAGCCAGCAAGATCATCTAAAAACAGAAAACCCCCACAACAAAAAAGTGGTCCAGACAGCAAGATCGACCGCCATGAGAGAAGAAACAGGCTCTGATTAGCAGAGTTCCATAAAAAGTGTTGCCTCTCCAAACACATGGGAATCTTGTCTATCGAAACCTGAGATTAAAAATGGTCTTTACCCAAATCAGAAACCCAGCTTCCTCATCAATCCCCACCTTCTCCCATCATCAAAAAGGGAAAATGAAAACAAAAACATCCAAAATATTATCTAATCCTTCAACCCCACTTAATCTTCTCTACCCCAATCCCCAGAACATCATCCCCTGCAACTAATTGATCAAATAACCAGACAAACAAACAAACAGGATGAGAAAAGAGAAACAAGATCCAGCAAAAAACATCGAGACAACCAGAAACGAAAAAGAAAGCAGAGGAGAAAGAGACTTTACACGATTTATAATCCATGCGAGAGAGAGAGAAAGACAGAGATCAGCGGCGAGAGATGAAATGCGTTGATTTCGAGGATCAAATAGTCCGAAATGCGGCAGTGAAGGGGGCAAATGGAAGATGGGTCTGCAAAAATTTGGAGTGGAAATGGACGCAGGGCCTCGGGAAGACCAAAAGGAGAAGAGAGCAGGGGAAGGCTTTGGCAGATAGACGTTTGAGAGGGCAGGATTATTCGTTGGTGGAATGAAGAGAAGAAATGGGTGTAGTTGGAATTTGGAATTTGGAAACAAAAATCGATACTTTATTGTATTATTGTTGGATTGGATTATTGATTTTCGTTGAATTGTTTATGGTTTGGATTAAACTTCTGACTCTTAACTCTCTGAATCTGCTTCCATTTTACGTTACTGCCATTGTTGATCTTCAAGTTCACTCACTTTTCTTCATTTGATGACAATTACTATTCAACTACTTCAATCTCTCTCTCGATTAATATTTTTGCTCAAGGATTTTGCTATTTCGGCAGGTCCATGTTTGAATAATTTCTTTCTTTCATTTTTAGAAAGAAGATAATTGATCAGATATTTTTTAAATTAAGATAATAAATTAAATTTTTTTATTTTAATCCAATCAAAACAATATTTATTGAAAAAAAAAATCTTTTTTAGTTGGAACGACATGTGAGGATGTAATCAAATCAAATTGAGGATTTTTTTTTTCTTTGAGAATGTCACTTTAGTTTGGTTAGATGTGTGATTATAATTTCATTAACTAAAACTAAATATGTCATTAAGGCTACAAAGTCATTATTATTAACTTAAATAAAATACTCCAAATAAGACTTTAGTTTGGAATTGTTATAGCTTTTTAAATAATTATTCTCAACTATTCTTTTAGAAAAATTAAGTATAACAAGGAGCAAATTAGTGCTTAGTAAATTTCAAGTTTATCTTATTTTAAATATGAAAATGTAGGTTATAATATTTGTTAAATTAATACTAAATTGTTGTGATTTAGTTATAAGGACTAAAATAGATATACAATTAAAATTTACGCAATTTATTATTGATAATTTATAAATTTTTTTAAGATGATTATTTTAAATTTTACATGCTCTCAATTTAAATTTATAATCTCATTTACTCCAAAATATTTGTTAAATATCAGAGGAAACAATTGTTATAACACATTGTATTTGTAAAAAACGGTTGCATTATACTAATCAATTTGAAAAAATATGAGATGGAATTTGGTTGGGTGAATATGAAATCGATATTAAATTTGTTAAAGGATAAAATTGAAAATTTGATAGCAAGAGGCACCTAATTTTCATGCCAAAAATTAATTTTATCTCAAATCGAACATGTTTGACAAATTATAAAAAAATTAATTTTTATCACTTCTATGATGTAATTTTTGAAAATCAATTATATTAAAATATCTTATTTTAAAATAACTCGTTTTACCATCATTCCCAAACACACGCTTAAAATATCTTCATAACAAACAAATAACATAAAAGAAGTTGATATCTAACAAAATAAAGTAACATGTATCACGAAATACATCATTCAATTAAAATTCAGAGCTTAAATTTGTATTTTATTATCATCTCGCTATGGTTTGAAATATAGCCCCCGTTGAAAAAAAGAAATTATTAGTTGATTGTTGTTTCGATACAATACCATGTACCTAGTGATATCAATGTTGGAAATTTGGGTACACACTACAAATGCATCTTCCCAAATAATAACGACAATCTGATCCTAGGATCACGCATAGATTAGAAGTGGAAAGTTTCATCTCCCCCCCACGTTTGTTGTACTCGAAAAGAAAAATCAAAATAATACCTACGATAACATGTTTATCTAAACTTAGCTCATAGTAATAAAATAACTCTGGGTCATAAGTTTAACTTCTTTGTAGAATTAGAATATTATTTAACTATGACCTCACTTGGACACTGAAAGGTGTGTATTATGCAAAGTAATCACTATCTTTAGAATTCAAGAACATAGTTTTACAATCCATAGAACAGATCCTGTTCAAGTAAGGTCGTCTGAAAGTTATCACTATCATTTGAACGTCTTCCGAAAGCCTTCCTACCAACTGCATTACATATATATAATGTATAAATTATACCAAAACAGATCTTCAGAAAGCCTTCCTGCCTTGCATATCTAATATATAAAATTATACCAAAACATTTGCTTTGGGGGGTAAAAGTAATATAAATATAGGAAGAGAGCAGCTAGGAGAAAGCAAATAAGACATGACTAACATTCAAGGAGCTGTGACTGGCCTTCAAGCTGCAGCCTCACCAGGTGAAACTTCTTCTGGGAAACCATTTTGGATTCTTTCCCAAATGAGAGAGGAATGTTGCTGTTGCTCAACTAGATGGACTTGGATCTTTTTGACAGAGAAACTAGAGTGCCGTAAATAAGTTCGTTCCAGGCGTCGGGAACTCCAGGGAGACACCAATGGCTGCAGTCCTGCCGTCTCGTTGAAACCTTTCTTGCAGCGGTCCGATTCTTACCATAGACTGACGGGTGACCGTCTTTGCGAAAATTGGTTAACCTCGTAACGTTCAAAAGTACGACCGGAACCCTCATTCCCTTGATCGTTTCCTCGACTATCTTCATTTTCAGAGGAAAGTTGTCGATGATGGCACCACTTAAGACTGGTTCAGTTTCGCCGTTACATGATCCTCCTGAATCCCAGTCTCCACCTCTGTTTTGCAGAGTTCAACACATAAATATACAAGTAGACATAGAATCAGAATGTTCACACAAAATTTTTTAATCATCAAAAGCTTAAGGCTCTGGTATGAGTGTGATTCATGAATTATTAATATCAATTAAGCTCACGATCTCTTCCACGCTAATACCATGCTAAACTATCGTTGAACTCAAAAGTTTAAGTTGAATACTATATTATTAACTTTTTAAGTTACTTTGTCAGTTTTCAAGGCATAATCACAAACAACCTTTCTCCCACCATACCATATCTTTCCAGCATTTCATCAAAATATCCATCTATCCAAAGCTGTTTTCATAAAAACAGGAAAATGAAATTTTCACCTGAAATGGGCAGAAGAGTATCCTCTATAGAAGACCAACTGCTTAGCTGGATTTATGTTGTTATCAATCCAGTTTCCCCATGTCTTGAGCGCCCGTCTATAAGCCTCGACAGCATCGAACTGCGGGTAAAGAAAATTACCTTCTTTATAATAATTTACCCTGCATCATCAAATTGTATCAATAAACTACACTGAAGCATCAGTTTTCCTATTTTTATTACAAATTTTAAGCAAGTTCAAATTCTATTTTGGTCCCTCGATTTTCATGCTTACTCTATTGTGGTCCATAAATTTCCAAACATTCTATATAAGTTCTCAAACTTTCAAATGTTCTATTTTTGTCACTTAACTTTGAATAAAAAGTCTTGTCTATTAATTTTTTCCATAAAAAGCATCAGGCATGTTTGTTTGTTAAAATAATGTATCAAAAAGTTAATAAGGACTAAGACCATTTCAGTGCAAAGTTGGGGTACTAAAATGGAAGGTTTAAAAGTTTAGATACTAAAATAGAATAAGCAGGGAAGTTTAGGGCCCAAGATAAGATTTGGTCTTTTTATGTGTTATAACACCATATAAAAGTCCATTTCATGGCAATGTAGTATTGTGTTTGTCAGTTTGTTCGCAAGCACAACAGATCTCCATATGATCATTTAAGGAAAAATCCAACAAAATAGGAGGTAGCGTTTATGCAATTAGAAGTTAAATTCTTACCCACGAGCAGTCTTTCCATGAGTCCACCAGTGGCCAGTATTGAACACAAGAATGTCAGCTCGCTTCCAGCGTCCAGAATTCTTGTCAATTCGATCAATTGATAGAGTAGGGTTTGAGTTTCCTTGAGCATTTATACGAATTCCCTCCCTCACAAGGAAATGTGATCTCACAAATTCCACCGTACAGTCATAATCCTGCCAAATGTTTCCAAAAAAAGTAGTCATTTTACTTATCAGTAGCAGCAAAAGCAGACTTGAATGAAATGATAGCACTTCTTTATTTGCAGTCAAACTTGTCAAGAATAAAGGATGTAAGGAAATATTTACCAAGTATGGTGCCTACAACCACTTAAGAATACATGTTTAGGAACAAGCACGATAAAACGAGCAGATTCGAAATCAAGAACATTTAGTGTTCTTTCTATAAGTTGTATAAAGTTCTGAAAATGCAAACGAACCATTTCCCAAACAAAACATTGGCTATGTGAAACCCATACCCCTGCAAAAACTAATCCTAATCCATTTTTCTCTTAAATATGAAGACCTCTAGCACGCAAGATTTTAATATAATACATAATGATAATCATAGTAACACAAATCATTCTGCCACGGAAGAATATATTCACGAGAGGAAATCTACATTTTCTTTTGAAACATGACAAGAAATATATATTAACCTGCAGAAGACATATCATTGCAAGTTTTTTTATTACCTTAAACTTGAAGACGAAGTAACCCCTTCCCTTAGTTATTTTATAGCCATGGGTCTCAAACATTCTCCTCTTATCTTGAAGTCCTTCTCTAAGGAGACAAAGAATTGACTCATACTGGTTTCGGTTCATAGAATCTCCAACGAGCATCAATCTTTTGCCTCTCAGTCTCACCAAAAAGTCTGTTGCATTAAATCTGAGCTACAAGTGAAAAGATGATACGTTTCTTAGTAGACATGCAAAATCTACACTGCTGTAAAATACTCAATCACAAGAATTAACTCATACTGGTTTCTTATATATACATATATATAAGAAACCAAGCTTCATTTAAAATAAATAAATAAATAAAAAGGAAAAATAAAAAAGTAAACAAACATAGGTACAACATCTATGGGGCGAAGACAAGTCATCCAACAAACCCAAGGCATAAGAAATCTCGTACACAAGAGGGGGGATTGGCAACTATTGAAGGGAAAAAAATAGATAAAAAAAAAAGAAAAGAAAAAGTCTCTAGAGAGGCCACTCCAAAAGGAGGCTAACAAAAAGAATAATATGATCCCATAATTATCCAACTAGCCTATGTGTACATCTTGGAATATCTTCCACTCATTTGAGACCAGAAGCTTCTAAATAATTGTTAAAAAAACATTAATCCATAAAATCTCCTTCCAACCGAAAGAAGTTTAACAAGCCTCCAAGGGGCAGCTCGATTGGTAAGGACTTGGGATCTTTTGGTCATACTGGTTTAGAGGTCTCGAGTTCGAACCTTTCAGTTAGCTTAATACCAAAAACCTTTGATGTCTCCCGAGTCTGGGCCTTAGAGCAGGTGCTTCTGAATATAGGTGAGCTCTGACCCCCAGTTATTAAGAAAAAAAAAAAACATTGAAAGAAGTCCAACAAAGCATGTGAAGAAAAGAGCCGTTAGTGTTTCTAGGAAAGAGAATTGTTATGTGGAAGCATTCCAGGAGTATAGTCCTGCAATACCCAGTAAAGGGGCACTAAGTAATTCTAGATTCCTTTTACAAAGACAAAACCACCCAGGCAAGGGGGATTTTGGAATTATATCACCTATATTAATCCTTCAAAAATAACGATCACGTAAAAGCTTTAACCTTCTTTGGCATTTAGCCTTGCACACAATGAGATGAGACCCCATCACTTCCACCATTGAAATCTCATCTCCCACACCACGAAACTTACATTCAATAGCGTTTAAACTTCCTATACTTTTCGTCCTTGAAATCCATTCTTCCTTAGCTTATATCAACATGCTGGTCTACCATAAGTTGCACATCAAATAAGCCATTCAAAGGAAGATGCATCCACTCAAAAGCAACTAAAGTAACTGACAAAATTAAAATCAATCAAAGCCACAGTCCTCGTATTTGCATTTACCAACCATAGAAGCATCTACCTCGGGAGATCACAGCCATAAGGCTTCCACCGCCATTTGGTATACTCAGAATCAGCCCTCCCATTGTTCCCACAGTCATAAGCCTCATCAACATACGGACAAGAACCCACTCCATAAATCGGGTAGCGCTCATCTTTAACCCAAGTCCCCATGTAAAGATCACACTTCTTCAATCCCTCCATGGGCAAATCAGCTTCACCGCCAGCTCCCACAGCAGAAACCGAGCGCTTATCCTCAAGCACCGATTCCCGCGAAGACGAGTTGCGTAAAGACTTCAGGGCAGAAGAATCAGCACCCAAATCAGAAAAGGAAATGTGGGGTTGGGCCGTCGGAGGGGGAGAAACGAGAGAGACGGTAAATGGGGTCTGGAAGGAGAGATCTCGGAAGAGAGAGAGGGAAAAAACCTCGGCGTTTCGCTTGGTGAAGAAGATGAATGTAGAGAGGACGAGGAGGAAGAAAATGGGGGCGAAGGCTAATGGATTGGTGGGGAGAGAGGAGCCGGCCATTGGAGGCGAGAGAGAGAAAGAAGAAGCAGTGGGCAGTGGAATGGAAACGAAGCTTTGATCATGGGCAAACACTTTTAGAAATATGGGAATTTTTAATACAACATCAACATTCTCTCTTCGGGCATTGATTCCTCCATTTTTCCTTTTTCGGTTCGATCTAAGCACAAGTATCTCAACAATAATTATTATTTTAACACTTGTTCTTATTGCCGAAAATCAACCTTATATGTTGCCATTACTTTTCTTTAGGCAAATTTCAAGAGTTTTAAATGATGGAATGATTTCCAATTCTCAGTTGCAATTTCTGATTTGTATGCAGTGGCTACCGACGCACAAATGAATGGGAAATATCATTTTTAAATCTAAAATTAGGAATGTATAAAACCTTACACTTATCCGAAAAATATTGTAATTTTCATATGTGTCGCGAATTTTACCCTTCCATAAATTTTTGTTTGACAATTTGTTGAAATAAATATTCTCATACTCATATGAGTTAGAAAGCAAAATGAACACTTTTGGTCACTGACGTTTGAGGTAGGTGTCTAATTGGTCCCTGAAATTTCAAAATGAACATGTTTAGTCTTTGAGGTTTAAAGTAGATGTCAACTTGGTCCTTGAAGTTTTAAAATAAACATTTTTTGTCCCTGAACTTTGAAAAATAGTTTTAAATGGTCCCTGATTTTTTTTTACTGTTAATTAACTAATATTATAACGACGTGGCAAATTGCAATTAAATTGTTTATTGTAGTTGCTGATGTGATAAATTATATTAATTAAATGATATATGTCCGGTATGAATGGCGGATGGTAGCAGCATAAAGACGTGGTGGTCGCCAGAAAATGGTAAGAGAAAGAGAGAGGAAAAGATGAGGAAATGAGGCAGAAAGTACTATCACGTACGCATATATTATTTAATTAATATAATTTGTCACATCAGCAACTACAATAAACAATTTAATTACAATTTGTCACATCATTTTAATATTAGTTAATTAACAGTAAAAAAAAATCATTTAGAACTATTTCTCACACTTTAGGGATTAAAAGTGTTCATCTTAAAACTTGAGGGACCAAGTTGACACATACTTTAAACCTGAAGGATCAAAAGTGTTCATTTTGAAACCTTGATCCTTCAGAGACCAATTAGACACCTACCTCAAACCTCAAGGACCAAAAGTATTAGAGGATCAAAAATATATTTTGCCTAAAAAAAAACACTCATTCTAGCCAGAAGGGTATTACAAATAAAACAATGGTGTGAAAATTTTAATATACAGCTTTAAGAAAGAGATAATTGTTATCTTAATTAGTTGACTTACATTCAAGTTAGCATCGGTAAATTAAAGCTACACATATGTAATTAGTTTAATTATAGACCTATTTTAGTCTTGATATTTTTGAGTGTTCTCTACTTGGATTCCTGTTCTGGGAGAATTGCAAAGACTAGGGAGGATAAACAAAGTTGTTACTAAATTAAAATTTTTTGGAACTTAATCAATGCTAATTCTATTTTGAACTTTAAAATAACTAGCCTGCAATCTAACAACTGAAAATAATTGTGCAATAGAAATAAAAATGTGTAGATAAGAGAGATGATATCAGTAGTTCTGATTTGAAAATCCCTACTTCACCGTCCAAGATTTCTTCTCAAATATTTTACTACGACAACAATTTTGTTGGTGAGAATCAAATCGATCGATCACCCTTTTTTTCTTGAAGAACGAACTTTTTTTTTGCATGTTCATAATCCAATCTATACCGATATTTTTCACTTATTTAAGATCAAACTACTGCGACCTTTTTCATCAATCCATGATCAACCAATACAAATCTTTTTTCTAGTTCAGCATTAAATTACTGAACATGCTCCCACACCTTATTACAAAATCCCAATAAAATAACAATCATGGCTAATCTAAATGGGCCAACCTAAATTCTAGGGTGTAGGGTTGTTAAAGGATCCCACGTTGATAAAAGAAGAGACCTAACAATGGTTTATAATAGACATGGGCTACTCCTCTCATTGCTAATTGATTTTGAGATGGAACCCCATGAATCTTTATAAGGGTTAGGTAATTGTCTTGTGATAGCTGGTCCGGAGCCAAGATTCAAATTTTGCACTCACAGCAATAATCTAATCTCTCAAAATTAAATTATCGCTCATTGGAAAATGGAACAAAACGAACATATGCAATAATGGAGGTTCTCTTTTAGAGTGATTTTAGCAAGCTTAAGGATGTAAGAATGGAGGGAATGATGGCTGGGAATTTTTGGCTCAAGCAGATCTAAGGACTGTTAATTTTAATAAGGACCCCTAGATCGAGGTTTGAGGGAATGAAGGGTGGAAATTAATTGGAGAGGAAATAATGAAAGCGGATGCACAAAGAAGTTTCCTTCAACGATCTATTCGATACTTCAGGATTTTGAATGACTTCAAATTTGTGGGATCTTTAATCAAAACGAGAATAAAAACTTCAAGTATTAGAGTGTTGAATTTCTTGAAATGTTGGTGAATTTAGAGGGTTTGAGAGTCATTCACCCAAACTTCAATACCTACATTGTGGTGGAATCAAATTGTCATGAAGCAATGATCCATCTACTGAATGATGTGGAGATTGATCTCACATGTGTAAATATCTGGAAAGCTGAAATCCAACAGTTCAGTAGATGCCACGTGTTATAAGCCCATTCAAAGATGTGGCAGGGTCAAAGAAGAACCATGAGAGATCGAGCGCACCAGACCAATCCTGAGTGCACTTGGACCTCCCATACGAAGGATAGCTAGCGGGAAAGGGTGCCGATACCTTATACACCAAAACTACGATACGCCTTAGAGAATCACCTAGGGTGCCGCCACACCCCCGATCTGCGGTACATAGGGGAAAATAGGATGTCATGGTCCCCATGAACCCCAGGCGCGACATACCACTCCCTCGTGTTTGGATAACACATGCGAAACCCCTCTTTCTCTCTATATACAAGGAGAATAGCAACCCTAATCAAGGTGAGTCGTCTTTTCTTACACAACTTATCGTGAGAATTCATCACCCACTCTCACCCTCAAGTTTATTGCATGACTTCCTACTTCATTTGCTCACAATTTGAGTTCTAACCAGAGTTCCCCCCATGTCGTGGACACATCGAAATGTAGACAAAATGTCGACATGTCTTTTTTTTTTCCTCTTCTTCTTTAAGGTTATTTTATTTTCATTCTCTTTTTACTATGCCACTATAATCTATAATTTATCACAACCTCGATGATTGTAATTTTAGTCTGTTCAATGAAACATTCGAATTTTAATACTGTATAAAGTATAACTAATAAGATTTGTAATTTACTTTATTGATAATTTCTAATCTAATCTAGTCCTTACCTACACAATTGAACAATATATGTGAAATATTGACATATATAAAGATTGAAATAATCTTAGAATTTTTTAAAAATAAAATATTATTATATACAAATAGTGGTGAAACATGAAGTAGAATAGGTAACTTAATTAATACAAAAAAGATGATCTCGGAGGATCTAGTGCACTATCTTGATAACTTTGATATAAATTACAATAGTTCTCCCCGGTCATCCTACACTGAAAATTTTGAAGGTAGTTGCTCAAATGAGCAGAATATGAAAGCATATATGAATCCCATTGGTAGATAATTTGGATGAATGACACAATCACGAAGTTGAGGTATTTGAAAATTGTGTAAATTTATTGGAAAGTTGGATTGATGATTGATTTGAAAATATGTTCGAAAAATGTGTAAATTCAAATTTGAAAAGAGAAGTAGGTAAAAAGTAAATAGGTATGAGTTCATTAGAATTTAGAAATGTGTTTGGAAACCAAGTCGGTAATTATCTCATTTCTAAATGAATCCTATTATGAAAAAACACCAAAGAATTAGTCAAAAGTTTAGAATTAAAGTTTACTTTATATATTCAAATAATTTCCATCCATCTTCATTAAATCAAAAAATCTTTTTTCGATATTTTCATCGACATCGACATTTTCATAAGTAAAATGGTCATATTCTTACATTTAATGGTTAAAGGTGATCAATTATAGGCTAATTAAGCTACCATTCGAGTTTTATTTGTTAATTCAAAAAATTTCTATCAATTTCCACAATTTCCATTATTTTTCCCGAAATATCCATCGACATCGACATGTCTCTAAATCGGGACCTCGACATTTTCATGGACATCGAGATTTTGAAAACTAGTTCTAATTTAAGCATGAGAGTGCATTTGAGAGAACACTACACATGTGTTAAATTTCTATATGCAGACAACCAAGACCTTGAAGACGAAGGCATTCGCGACACTAACGTAGCAATTGCCCAAAAATCAGCATCCACGACCATGATAAAATTGTAGTTTTATTTTTATTATATTATCAAAAATCAAATTGATTTATGAGACTAAGCCTAAATCATAGAAATTAAATTGTAATTATGTACACTTTTCACTCCTTTTCCGAATTAAGAATTTGGAGAAAACTTCACTCGGTTAAAGTATTATTGAGCTCCTTCCCCTCACGTGTCTTGTAAAAAAAGAGCGAAGTTTTTTCTTTTAAGTATTTATACCATAATATAATTTTATACCTTTTTAACACTTTTTCTTTAATGTTGTTGTTATTATTATTATTATTTATTTATTTATTTTTTTGGTTGGGGAATACGATAAACGACTGAGTTAAACCTCCCCCAAACACTATCTAGGGTTCTCTCAACGCCTGTATTCAGCAACACGGGGAGAGAAAATTCTCAAACCGCCGCCGTTCGCCGCTCTGGGAAATTCCAATTTCACCGAATTCAATCCTTTTTCCTCACACCCATCTCGTCTTTGGAGCCAATTTTGGGTTTTTGTTCCGATTTCCTCCCCAGTTTGTGAATCTGGGAGCGAGCTTGTTGTGAAAAAATGGAGGAGTTGGTTGAAGGAGATCAAGATTTTACTTCACTGATTAAGCATTTGGCGTCCTCCAACAAGGCGACCAGAGACAAGACCCTCCGTTTGATTGTAAAGACATGGCTTCCGATTCAAACGAGCCTCTCCGATGGCGATATGAAGAAGCTATGGAAGGGTCTCTTCTACTGCGTTTGGCATGCCGATAAGTTTCCTGTTCAGTCCGAGCTTATTAATCGCCTCTCTGCTCTGCTCCTCCATCTTGACCTCCCGCTTGCTGTTCAATACTTCTCTGTTTTTCTTCTTACCATGCGTCGGGAATGGGCCGGCATTGATGCGCTCAGGTTAGATAAGTTTTACCTTTTGATTCGCAGATTTTTGCACCAGTTTTTTGCTTTGATGAAGAAGCATTCGTGGGATTTGGAACTGTGTCGTCGTTTGATTCAAGTTTTGGAAGAAAGGGTGTTTTTCACCGATGATAAGTTTCATGGAAACGGTGTTAATTACCATATTGCTTCTGTGTTCCTTGAGGAACTTAGGCCGTTTCTTCCTCTTCGGAAGGAGGTTGTTGATGTCCTGTTCAAGCCATTCCTTCTTTCCATGGCCAAACTGCCGGATAAAGTGTTGATGGGAAAAATTAAGTCTAATCTTTTTGACGTATTACTGAAAATGGGGAAGCAGTTACTCGAGCATCGAAAATGTGGAGATGACGTTGATTCTGGTGATGATATTGTTGTTTATGGAACACTTTCATTGACAAATCTATTCTCAAGTACATTTTATGAATTGGGTTCTTCACCTGAGTGCTGTCAAGGGAATAGAAAGGTACTGTTTGCCCTGCATGAAGAGTATCAGAAGTTGGAGAAGGATTTTATTTCATCGGGGATTGAGATTTCAATTCCAGATCTTCATGAGCAAGATGGGGATGAAGTACCCACTTTGGTTCCTGTTTCCAGTGAAGAAGAGGCTCCTTCAGATATTTCCATGGTTGACGTAGATGTCACTGAGGAATCTACTGATAAGGCGCTTAAAAAGCAAAAGAAGAATAAAAAGGCCACTGATGTCAGTGGCAAGAAGAAGAAGGCTAAGAAGGCAAAGAAGGCGAAGAAGACCATGAATGGTATTTCTGATCTTGTTTCTGAAAATACTCCTATGAATAAGGACAACGAGAATATAGTTGCTAACGGTGAGAATTCTAATAATGAACAGATTAGTGATGGAAATATGATAAACTTTGATGAATCTGTGATATCAAACCTTCAGATGCAATTTGAGAGGGTTGCTGCGGAAGCTGATTTTGAAGACAGTGTTGTAGGCCCTGTAGTATCAGCCAATGGTTCGGTTAAGAAGAGAAAGAGAGCTAAGAATGCCGATGGACAACAACAAACACATGGTTTAGTACTTCCCAGCCAAGTTGATGCTGAAGAAAATGCAGCTGCAAAGAGTGGAGAGAAGAGCGTAAAAAAGGTAAGGTTTTCCATGAAAAATAACTTAGTGTGGAAACCCCATAATCCCTTGCCACCTGAAAGTTTGAGACTTCCCCCCACTGTTACTCCAAGGGGAAGTGCACTTAAGAAAGGAATACCTCCAGGTCCTATCTTGGAATTCCCCGTTGCAACTAAAAGGACAAAAAGGAGAGCTGTTGCAATGAGGTCAAAGAAAGGAGTAAGAAGCTTGCCTGTCAAGCGTTTGAAGAAGTTGAAATCTAAGACTACTACTTAGAAGCTTTTTGCCATAGGGTAATGAAGTTGCAGTGCCAAGGCCTACAAATTTTTGTCATTGAATGATTTTTCTTAATTACTTTGCTTCGTTTGGGCTTTGCTGTCATATTGACTTTCATGAACTCAACCATTGAAAAAGAATGAAGATTCTGATGCATTGAGTTGAGAACTTGAAATTGATGCCCCAATTGCATTCTAGCTTAAATGATCAGTTTTCATTTTTACGCTTTCATTATGAAGTTTTGTGCCTGGTCCTTTTTCTTGTTTTCCTTCCCAAGGGTTCCGGTGGTACATGGCTGTGGAAGAAGATGGTTTCTCAGCATGAGTGAAAGAGCGCCGAGGCAGAGTTTCGGTGGTGAGGGAGAGTGTAACAGCTGACGTTTTTATTTTTTCTTTTATTTACCATTTTGTGGTTTAATATGCAAGGTTCAGTCTTTGGTATAAGTTGGTCCATAGAGCAGGAATGCCAAATAGTGGTGTTATAAGTTGGGAACTGAGATATGGGATGAAGGATTGGTAATGACTGAAATATGGCTATACCTCAGTTTCTTAGTTTCTTCATCATGCGAAGTAGTCTTTGGTATTTGTTATTTGGTACTTGTTGTTCCTTGTATACCAAATAATTGCTTCTAGTTAACTACTGAGAGGATAATAAGGCGAATAAGCATTTATTTTTCTTTTGCCAAGTAGTATTCTTCTGGACGAGTGACTGGAAATGCCAATTATAATCTGCGTTTTCTCATTGTGGGCCTTGGTTTTATCTTAATCTGTGCAAGGCAGAATAGAACTGAACTGAACTGGTTTGGTGCAGTTATGGTTGGGTTGGTCGGTTGGTTCGGTTTGGTTGGAACTGATCTCTGTAGCTCTTGTTTGGTTCGGGGAAGGGTGGTTTGAGATTTCTTCATATCAGCTTTTCTGTCCTTGACTATGATTCTAATATCAGCTTTGCCTTAAGAAGAGAGCTAAGCCGCACCCAACATATTTTAGTTCTGTCTTTGGAATGGGAAAAGCTTCTGTTTCTGTTTCTGGCTTGGCTTCGATATTTCTGGTAGAAAAAAATTCCCTTCTGATTCAGCAGGAACCACTAAATTCTTTTATGAAAGATTTTTCTTTTGTTGACAAAAACGGAAAATCTCTTCTCCCTCTCCTCTGTGTTCCTCCCTCTTCCTAACCAACAAATTTTTGAAAATTGTGGTGGGTAGCCAGAGAAGTATGCATCTCATTTCTCGAAGATAGGATTATGCCTACTTTCACATCGTGTCATTCCTCTATCTGTGTTCCTCTCTCTTCCTACTCAACAAAATTTAGTGGTGGACAACACGAGAAGTATGCATCTCATTTCTCATGATAGGATGACACCTACCTTCGAGTTCAAATCATGTTCTTGTGCATTTTGTTGTAAAGAGTATTATTGTGTGGTTGGGTTTGATCACTCTTTTAACAAAAATTAGATGCTACATATCAATAAGAAAAATGGATGCCTTGTACTCAAAAAGAGAAGAACAAAAAAGAAAAAGAAAAAAGGGATGCCAAAAAAATCGACTGAACTATGTAAGTAAATCAAATTGCATCAATATCTTGCACAAAGAGTATTATTATGAGGTGTAAGTGTGTTGGTTATGATATCTATCATTATAAGAAAAATGGATACCACCGGTGGACGGCTTGTGGTCCAATGGAGATATCCCTCTCCGGTTTGAGCCTCGTGGGGTGCATAGCTGGGTTTCTCCCCTCTTCCCATCCGAGGACGAGTTTTGCAATGTTGGTTACCTAAATATCGTATGTTTTAATTGATAGATAAGCATAGTTCAAATTGATTTGATTTGGTTGGTTTTTACTTTTTAACTTTGATTTATACTCCTACTCTAACTAAAGAGTCTAAATCAATTTGATTTGGTTGGTTTTTATTTATTTGACCTACACTCCTAGTCCAAACTAAAATGGGATACAAATGGATAATAATGAGAAATGTAACATTTGACCCTATGTTTGAAATTAAGAAAGTTGCAGAAATAATTTTAATTGTAATTTAAAATATTGGAAATGATTTCAAATTTAGTAAATACTGTAACTGATTTTAAATGCTTTATTTTGAAAAAAATTTGAACGATCGTAATTAAAAAAATTTATTTGGATGTTAGTGGGAAAAAAAGGGAAAATAAAAAGTTTAAAGACAGTTAAATAAGCAATTATGCAAACATTCGAACTATTTTAGTTTGCATATTTATTTTATTTTATTATTATTATTTTTCATTTGAAATCTTTATCTATAGTTGAAATCCCTCAGACTCATGTAAAAACAAATGTACAATGAATTTTGAACCTTTTATTTATTTCGTCTGTAAAATTTTAATTTAAATTACATCATAATTTTTTAAAAAATTATTTTATTCACGATCACCAATATCATAACGTGACATGCTAACTAGCTATCTATTTCGTCGTCACTTCAACTTAACTATTACTAATATAATAGCATAATTATATATATTAAGTCTGAGAATGATATCAACTAACCTGAACTAAATAGAAACATAAGAAAATTTAGGGGCATAGTCAATTTCTTTTTTTAAATCAAGAATTAAATTAACATGTTGAAAACTTTGAGGGTTAAAATTTATAATTTAACAAAAACAAATAGTATACTCACTTTGATTGTAAAATAATTAAAAGGATGTTCATAAGAAAATAATAACTATAGCTCTCTACTTTAGGCACACCTTTCATTTCCAAGTTTGGAATTAGTTAGAAGAAGAACATTGTAAAAAAGCCTTCCAAAAGGAAGAAAAATGAAAAAATAAAACGGTTAGATGCAGAAATTTGGCCTCTTGGGATTTCGTCAAATTTGCATCAATCTTCTAGAATAAAAGGGATCGATAAGACCTAAAAAATAAGAACACTAAAACCGGTGTGGCTCTTGTAGTGTCCCCTAAACTATGAGTGTTTTCCTTCTATTTATAGAGGAACTAATGGGAATCTTGAGGCCATCAGTATAAGATATCTTCTCCCAAATCTATATCCTCCCCTTTTGAATCACTTAAATAAAGCGAATTTGAATGGTAGAAAATAGGAACTTTCTCATCCATAACAAAAACCTTCGACGTATTGGGTTCTTTTTAAAATTTCATAAATTTTCCACAAGTTCCAAATAAGATATGACTTAGATGTAATACCTTCATTTGTGATACCTTCTTACAAGAGTATTTCCAACTGTCCGGTTTTAATTGGCATTTACTCCTTCTCTTGAAGTTGGAGCTTCGAATTGCATACTCTCAATTTCTTGTATGTTAGAAAAAAAAAGAAGAAAAAAGTATTTCCAAGTTACAACATAGTTAAATTAAAGGTTTAAATACTATTTTAGTCTAGTACTTTCCATTTTAGTTTGTTTTGGTTTTTGGATTTTTAAAATGTTCATTTTGATTCTTGCACTTCTAATTTTTGTCCGTTTTAGTCCATATACTTTGTAAATGTCCGTTTGAGTCCTTTGTATTTTTTAAAAAATGACTATTTTGGTCCCTTCATTTTTTTTATCACAATTTTTAGCATGAAACTACACTTGATAAATTTCTTGACATGTAGCCAAACTTTGTATGGTATAGAATTTGTGTTAAAAACTTTCAAATAAGGCCCAAAATGACCACTTTTTAAAAGTATCGAGATCAAAATAGATGTTTGCAAAATACAATGACTAAAATAGACCAAAATTGAAATTACATTAACCAAAATGAAAATTTAAAAAATATCAAGACTAAAACAAACCAAAAATTGAAAGTATACCGACCAAACTAATATTTAAACCTAAATTTAACTACATATGTATTTTCCTAAAATGTTATGAAATTGCCAACCTTTGAGTATCATCTGTTCTCAATCTTCGTAAGGATTTTGGAATAGCAATATTTTGAAAGTGAATTCCCTCCAAATTAAACTTATTTTAGAATCCCCACCAAACCAACTCTCCTTTTTAGGTATTATTATTATTATTATAATAAGTTATCTTCCTTGAATTATATGCTACTTCTCATTGAGTAAAAAAAAAGGAATTTTTCTTGTGTATGAGTTCATGGATGATTGAGAAGGGAAACATTGGCCTTTTAGAACCATTAGCCAAAAGAGAGTCTAAAACTTTCAATTATTCTTTAGGCTATATGTTTGGCTAAAAGGGTTTTATCAAAAAGCTAAAAAAAATGACTAAAATAAAACTCCCATTGATTCTTTTGGTTTACATTTCATCTCTCTAGATTTTGAAGATTAGATTGAAGAATTTGGAAAGCGACTTTGTGAATAAAAGGTAGTAGCTCTAGGAAATTTTTTTTGTTAGCTCATTGTTTTTCTTTGTGACTTTAAAGAAAAACTATTGACATCTAATTAAGACATTAATTTAATTAACCAAAAGATTAATTTTATAAGTCAAAGTGAGCATATCGCAGCGGTAATTGACATATATCTCAAACTAAGAGATGATACGTTCGATCATCCACCCCACATATTGTAAAAAAAAAAAATTATAAAAATATTCGTCATCCATTTTCATCATTATGATATGAATCAAGAAGCCTCTATCAAACTCCGCCATCAAACTTCCACTAGAGATATAAATCTTGATGATGATGTCAATTTAACATTCTATCTTTTGCACATGAGACTATTAGGACTTATTCACACGTGGAATAGGGTCTTTTTTTTTTAGCCAGCAATAATTGACATATACCTTCGAATAGGGTCTTTTTATATTTGAATTTTGATGTTTTATTTTTCTTTTTAGTTAAGGCTTGGCCAATGAGAGCCTGAGTTTCTTTATTTTTTTTTGGATTGTAATTGCATTAATATTATTTAATTAAATTATTTTAATTCGTTATTTTTCTTATTTTTAACCAACCAACTAAATTAGGATATTGATATATCATATATAAGCTTATCATTTAGGTGGTAAAGCGGATAGATCAATTTTAATTGATATTATTATTATTATTTTTTTTTTTTTTGTCTTTTAAACTGTTTCTTTCAAGCCAGTTAAGAGTGCGCTGGTAAGAATTCAAATTATTGGGTTTTATCGACCCCTTTTGTGGAGTGTTAACTAGTAGGGAATTAATTCTCTTTTACCTCTTGGTATTTGATTAACAAGGTAATTTTATTCTAACTCTTCCTTAAGGTTGTACCCAATTGAATTTTGCGGGTTTTAAATATTTGTGAATTAGAAAAGTTCACGTATCCAAAAGATTTAAAATTTCAATTCACTACTAGAATTTCATATGGTTAGCTACATCTATAATATGAACTACAATATATGTAAAGAAGGCTACAAACATATCTTAGAATCCATAGTCTGATACACAACTTATACTTTAGCAATAACTTCCTCTAGCTATATAGACTTCACATCAGAAGATGATAACATGAAGATTAATCTCTCTTCCTAAAGTAACATGCTTTGATACATGTAAGAGCCCTATAGGAGGGAGAGGCCAAAAACTTTCATAAAAGAGACACAAAATTTTACATTCTAAGGGAGCAAATTAGAAAGTAATTAGCTTTAAAAATCTAAGACGAACTAAAAGGGGCTATTACTCCTGACTCCTGTCCTGCGCTCCACTGTACTCTTGACCTCATCTAGTGAAATAATTAACCTCGAGAAGAGAAGAGGCGACGTGGGGAGAACATTCCTGGCGCCATGTACCTCGGTGAAGTGAGGCCATCGATGGAGCGATACTGAGACAACATGAAGGCTTCCCGATCCTCACGCGGCTCACTAGTTTTGAAGTAGCCATATCCACCGCTAAAGGTTCCATAACGAACCAACCTCCCGACCCACGACTTCTTCTTCCGCGGGCTCCGGTGCCCCGCATTCATCTTCTCGCTCAGATACTCCTTGACTGCATGCAGGCCCTGCTGGAACACGAGCGGGGGCGGGGACGACAAGGGGTTGCCGTCGACGCAAAGCTTGTGGAGCCTCTTTAGGCAGCCAATGGAGTCGGGGAGGGAGGTTATTCCATTGTAGCTAATGTCGAGCTCCACGAGAGAGAAGAGGAGGCCAATGGAATAGGGCAAAGCTTGAAGGTGGTGGAAGTTTTGGCTGACATTCAAGACTTCAAGCTTGATTAGGTTTTCAAGGTCATCAGGGAGAGAGGTGAGGCAGTTCAAACGAGCATCAAGGATTCTAAGGGAAGTGATGTGGGAAATGGAGTGTGGCAAATAAACAAGCTTGTTGGAGTTTACAGACAGCTTCTTTAGGTTTGTTAATTCAAACCCTAATGTGTCTGATAGCTTTGTTAGCTTGTTGAAATTTGCATTAAGTTCCTCCAAGGATCTGCATCAAAATCAACCACAAAACTTGTTTAAGTCCCGTTCGTTATGGTTCTTCTACTTTCAAAACGTGTCAAATTATAGAGACTACGATCAAAATTTAAATTTTAGATCATATTTCTATGAGAGGGTTGGCATTAATAAAATATCAGGTGTATCACCTATATGTTAAAAACTAATAGTAAGCTTTAGAGTTTATTTACTAATAATCATGAGATTCATAAACTTTGGTTGAGAAGTGTTATTTATTAATTAATATTAATAAAAAATCAGAAGTATCTCTAACATGAACATAAGTATCAATAATGATTTATTTTTTGTGGGTGATATTTAAAAAATTTAAAATATTTAGCACTTTACCATTAGAATCATTCGGTAACATTATTGTTTTCTCGTTTCTAGTCTTTGAGATTTAAGCGTAGTTGTTCTTATTTCTAATTTCTCATTTTTAATAAATATTTTCAAAATTGTGTATAAATTTTTAGAAACAACAAAATCAAATTTCTTTCCCGATCTTTTCAAATCATAAATAAAAGCGTTATTTTATTATTACTGACGTATAAAATGCATAATAAATATTTTAAAAAATAAATATAACATAAAATTTTGAATACTTAATTTAGAAAAACTAAGTTTCATATAAAAAATTAAAGTATTTTATTTTAAAATTTTAGATAACACGGAGCAAAAAATCAACAAAAACATATTTATGTTTTTAAAAAAAATAAAGAAAAAAAATAGCTACACAACACAGTTCGGTTTCTATTTATTAAAAAAGAGAAAACCAAAAACAAGAAACTAAAATAAATAATCAGAAACAAAAAACAAAAAACGTTTACAAAGGACTTTATAAACTACTAAGAAAAAGTAATGTCAGATTCATATAAGAGGTTAAATCATCAGACAACTCAAAAGAACAAATCGACCCGAAAATAAAAGTGTAAATTATCATAATTATATCTCTCTTTAGTTACATATTTGTTGATCAAGAATATTTCCTTTCTATTTTGCTGTGAACTAAATTCAACCCTATAATTCTCCATTTTTTTCCTCTCAAAACAAGGCTTTTTCCCACTACTTCTCGCTCTTTTTTTAAAGATATATTGCTATTACTTGTACAAAGACAAAAACATAAAATTTTTTAAAGACAACAACGTGGGATCGTAGAATCCCAACTATTATTATAACTATTTTGAAAATTTGACTTTCTATATAAATATTTTTTAGAGTTAGGTTGATAAGTACAAACCCCTATACTTTTATTCAACATATAATATTTTTGACAAAATTTAATATTCATTGTATACAAATCACAACATTTTATTTATGTTAGGACCATTATAATTTATAAACATTTTTATGTATTCTAAGGGGAAATGATGAGAGGCATATGGCATATGCTCCCACCATACACTAACTTTAAGTTTTTTTTTTTCTTTTTTTTTTTTATAATTTTAATGTCAAAGTTTAATCATGATGTATGCCATTATCTTTATTTGCTTTTCATATAATTTTACACCCACTTGACCTAATTTTTGTAAGGCCTTAATTAGTTTAATATTCCACTATTTTTTTGCTCATGTTGAGGTCAATGCTTATGTCACATTTACTTTYTTGTTACTTTTTCCTATGTCAATTGATGCATTTAATTACTTCTCAATTATCACTATTTTCTTTTCCTTCTTTTCTTCCCCTCCCAAAATAATCACCAAGATTTAAAATCATGTTTTGTTAAATATTTTTCAAAAGGGGGAAAAATCCAACTTTGAATTTTTGTGGGTGTATTTTCTAAATATTATTGAAACTTTTATTTTATAGATTAACTTCTTAAAACTATTTTTTGGTTTGTTAATTTTATAACCTATCTAGAAACATCTTTTTTCCCCATTTATTCCTTATCTATTTTAATTTGAAAATACAACACCATGCTTAGAAGAGAAAAAAAAAAAACAATTTCATCGCAACTAACTTGATAAAAAAATATATAATAAAATTTAGTAAAATGTATATATTTTTTTTAAGATGTTGAAATTTTAGAAACAATTAAAGCATGAATATTAGGACATGTTTAGGGAGAAAAACGAACCTGCAACTCTCAAGAGTTTTAGGAAGCATAGAGATGAGATTTCCAGAGACATTTAAAATCTTGAGCTTAGTCAAACAACCAATAGAGTGAGGAAGACATTTCAGCTGATTTGAGTGTACATCTAATACGATGATGTTTAGTAATCTTGCTGTTAGAGATTCTGGGATGCTCTGTAAAAATTATACCATCTATTGTTAGAAATTAATTAGTAAATTATCTTTGTCTAGGGCATTTTTATATATTAAGAATCAAATTATGATTTGGTGGATGACGTTTTTGCTTTTATTTTTGGCTTTCGTTTCTTGTTTTTTGTTCTCTTTTTTATTTTTTAAGAAACGAGAACCGAGAACGATACTAATTATTTTACTAATAAATTTTTTGATCCATGTTTTTTTTAGAGATATGTTTCTAAAATAAGTTCATATATAATTTTAAAAACGTTTTTCTTAAACTTGAGAAATAGAAAAATAGTAAAAGAAAAAACATTACCACATAACAATTTTTTAGTACAATAATATGTGAGGATGAAATTCGAACGTAGAAGACATCAATATATATCTTAACCAAACAAGGCATGTTTAAGATGGGCTTAAAACCCATATTCCCATCACCTTTTTTATTTCCTATTTCCTATATTTTATTTTCTATCTTACAAAAGCTTCTCTATTGTTAAAATTTAAAAAAACAAAAAAACAAAAAAGACCTTATCTTGGAAGCCCATTTTTGTAAAAATATTAAATATAGTATGTATTTTTAAGGTTTATAACACAAAAAATATAATTATTTTATAAAATCTCAAAGAGCTATTAATTCAAGAATTTTATTTTTTGTCAAAAATAGATTTTTAAGTATTTATGTCTTTTATTTTTCTTAAATAAATGAAAATATAATTTTAAGGGCTTGTTTGAATATTGTTTTTAAGATACTTTCCGAACATATTTGGAATAGATTTTTAAGTATTTATAGATGACTAAAAATACAAATTAAGCCTTCCGAAAAAAAAATATAAATTAAGAAATTGACTGTGTTGGGTTAAAATTTTAAAAAGTAGTAAAAAGTCCTATTTTAAAATTTCAGTGGTCAAAAATTCTAAAAATAGATAAAAAGTATTTTTGGACAAAACATTTAACTAATTTTCTTCCAAAAGTATTTATATATAAGTGTTTCATTTATAAAAATACTTTTCCTCCCAAAGACATGTCAAATAAATCCTTAATTAAAAAAATGTTGAATATACATAAAATAACTATTTCTAAAAAGATTTTCTTTCCTTTCTTACAAAATGGTGTAATTATTTTTATGAATCAAAGTATCATCATAGTTCATAAAAAGGTATTGAAAACAAAAAATATTGTTTTCCAAAGAATGAAAATTTTATTTGCTCAAAATTACTACGTACTTACATGATGCAATTATCTTTATGAATCAATAAGAGGATCATAGTTCATTATAAAGTATTGAAAAAAAAAATCTTCATAAAATGAAAATTATCTTTCATTCAAAATTAAGGTACATTTATAAATGGTGTTAGTTATCTTCACGAACCAATCACGCCGTAGTTCTTTAAAATAGTATCGAAAC